CGCATCCCTAGTAGGAACGCTTATTTGCATCATGTTGCATTTGACTTAGGGGACTCAACACAAGGGTTGGGTCCGTCTAGAACAAGCAACCTGAAATGAAAAAGACCATCCTGCTGCATCCTGTTTGTTTTGCACATTTATTTGCTTCAGATCAGCATGCTGACCGGCTTCTGAAATCGGGAATTTTGAAGAAAAAAAAGAAAAAGAAAAATAGCAGTGTAGGGAGATAACTACTTATTTTTAGAAAAATAAAACCAATGTCCAAGTAGTGTCCTACNCAAATTAAGTATTAATTCTTATGTGTAAATTAGTCAAGTCCAGATTTTTCCGATCATTCATTAAGTTTGGATGCAGCAGAGGACAACATTTACTTTTATTCCTTTCTTTAACTTGGACAAAGAAGAGTTTCTACTTTTGCTACTTTTTTTACGTTACTGATCTTATTTTAACAAGCTGCAATAGTCCGATAGTTCCAATGGTTGGAGTACGTAGTACATTCAAAGACGGTCAAGATGATAAAAAACGCGAAGCGAGACATGAGTCAAAAGTGGAATGAAACAAGTGAAATACATAACAAAAAATTTATCAAAATTGAAGTAAAACGCATTATAATACAACGTTTAAGTAAAACGCAATATAATACTGCGTTTTAGTTAGAAATGTAACTTTTTTTAACTGTATAAAGATATTTTGAGTCCAAAATTCCATTATTTAGGTTTCGGACTCCTCCCCCTCTTCCCCCAAAAAAAATTTTTTTTTCTTACTTTTTTTTTTATTTTATATTTTCAGATTTCTATTTTTTCGTTTTTCTGCACCACCCACCACCCATCCCCCACTCTCCCCCTGCGCACAATTTTTTTTTTTTTTTTTTTTTTTTTTTTTTTTTTTTTTTTACTTTTTTTGTAATTTTTAAATTTCTGTTTTTTCATTTTTCTGCACCACCCCGCATAAAAAAGTGTTTTTTTTTGTAATTTCAAATTTTTGTTTTTTCGTTTTTCGTTTTTCATCTTTCTGTTTACATGTTCGAAATTTACAAGTTTCAAAGTTATGAATTCGGAGGTTTACGTGTTTGGAAGTTTACGGGTTTAGAAATTATATAGTTTAGGGTTCGGAAGTTTAGTGGTTCGGAAGTGTATGAAATTTGTGGCTTCAGAAGGTTGTTGGTTCGAAAGTTTATGACTTCATGTTTATTGTATCTAAATTATTTATGAATACTCTTGAGAAGTTATTTTTCTTAATTTGCGTACCAAACACCGAAAAATAAGTAAGATTACTACTTGTTTTCCAAAAAAATATTTTCTTGAAAAACATTTTCCGTTATACCAAACACACCCTGAGCAGTGCTAAACTAATCGTCAAATTATCAGTTCTGCTGGAAGATCTTAATCCGTTTGATTGATTCTTCACATCAGATTAGAAATATAACAAGTCATATACTGTCATCACAACTTATCAAGAAGGATAAAATAATTTTTTTTACAAATAATTCTTTTGTAAGAGCATTTTAGTTAGAGGCGGATCCAAGATTTAGTGGTTGCGGATGTCACTGTATTTAATGTAAACTTACCAGTAATCAAAAAGGTTGAATTTGAGTATACATGCATTTGGCCCGTTCGCTAAATTTTAAATTAATTCGGTTCGGTTCGATCCATTTTGAGTTAATTTGGTTTGCTTTACAAAATTTTTTGGTGCATAAATAATACATGATAACAAAACTAAATATATTTGGTCCTTTCAAGAAAAAAATATTTTTAACTAGATAAAAAAGAAAAATGATTAATAATATATTCAAATAAAAAAATTTGAGACCTAGAACAAGAAAATATAGGCAAATATACTTTTATAATCTAAAGAATTAATAAAAATGAGATTGTATATAGAGAGAAAATATATAAATGAAGATAAAAGAAGTGAAGAAAAAGAGGAGAGGAGGATCAATCTTGGGTATTGGGCTTGGGAAGGGCTACTTTGCTCATGGCACTTACGGCCATTTTGTGTCTTGGGGTGACACTATATTTATATACCTTTTCTACGTGAAATATTAGTGAAATACCAATTCGTATATGAAATTCTACCCGAGCGGATGGTGTACCACCCCATCTATCTCTACATAGATCTGCCCCTGATTTTAGCAAATTATCGAAGAGAATATGTGATTGTAATTGTGCAAAAGTATATATAGGGAAATTGTGACACAAAGCAATAGTGGTCCACTCAATAGTTGTAGGCTTTGTTTGTTCTTTTCCTCTGTATTCAAAAACACCCCAATCTCTTCACAGACACAGAGAGAAACTGTCTCTCATCAACAAATCTTAGCCTTATATCCTCTTCTATATGCATCTCCCGTGACCACTCTACCTAAAACCCCTCTTTCTCTTTCTTTCTATATATTTATACATATACCAAACCCTAAAACCCTTCTGAATTCCTTTATTTAAATACCCTCATTTCCATTCTTAGATATTTCCCATTTTTCAAAGTGCTTTCTTGAATTCAGTGCTTCATCTTCTTCCTTAGCTCAATTCTTGGCAAATCCAAGCAAATTCTCTCTTTCTTGAGTTTTGACTTGATGATATTGTGGTTTGCAGTTTATCCATTGTCCATTTGTTTTGTTTGGTGAGTTTGAAGTCAGTTTTTAATGTTAGAGCTGAAAAGTGTTTAGCTCATTGACTTTCTTTTTTTATAAAAATGCTTTGGGTAGTTTGGTTTTTAGTTAAAAAAGAGTGTACTTTTTAGGGTTTAAGGTCTGTTATTGTACTGTTTTGGTTTATGTCCTTACAAAAACATAGTACTTTCTTGGAAAACTTCACCAAAACCAATACAATCTTGCCAATTGGTGCTTTTTCTCTAGCTTCTTCTTTGTTCTTTTCCAATTTGGATGCTCATTTCTGAATTGCAGGCCTAGAGAATTCACCTGATTTTTGAGAATTAAATCTGACTTGCTTAACAAGGTTTTCAAGAATTCATCATTGAATTCCAAGAATTGTCTTTTGTTTCAACAATAACAATAAATCAAGTATAATCCCATGAGTGGGGCCAGGGAGGATAGTTTGTATGTGCAGGCCTCACCCTTACCTTTGAGAGGGTAAACAGGCTGTTACCAATTGAAGAATTGTTTTTTGTTTTAATTCTTGAATTTCTTCTCTGTTTTCCCCTGTTTCTCTTTTAGCACAATGTCTTCTTGGTTAAGTGGTGGTGGAAGGGCAGCTTATAAATTGGATTTAGAAATTATAAAATCTCCATCTACTTCTTGGACTTCACAATCATCGTCACCTTCTTCAACTCTTTCAGAATCTAGCAATTCTCCTATTGCTATTTCCACAAGAAAACCTCGAACCCCTCGGAAAAGGCCAAATCAAACTTACAATGAAGCTGCAGCTCTTCTATCCACAGCCTATCCTAAAATATTCAACACAAAACACCTCACTAAGCCTTGGAAATTCCCAAAGCCACACTATCCCTTGTTATATGAATCCTCAGACTTAGTTGTGCCTTATAAAGTGGTCGAAAATTCGGGGTTTTTACTCCATCCTCCATTGCTAGAAAAACCCAATTGCCCAATTGAGCAAAGGTTAATAAGTCGTTGTGACAAACCATGCCAAAGTCCAGGAGAAATTGACTCCAAAGGGAATAGTTTTTTAGAGGTTTGTGATGAATTTCAAGAAGATTTTGATGAAGAGTCTATTTTGGATGAGGAAATTGAAGAGGGTGTCATTGATAATATTATGGGGAAGCTAAATGTGGAGAATGAATCAACAAATGAGTCCAATTTTAGTTATAGCAGGCACCAACATAATTTTGGTGGTACATGTTATGGTTTTCCAATAGGATTAGGATTCGAAAATGGATACCTCCAATATGATTTTGGCATGAGAAATGGAGCGCGACCATTGAGAAATGTTGATGATGGGGATTGGTGGAGGTATCCTAGTGTAAATGTCATCGACATTACTCCTAAATTTAGCAAACCACCGATACAAAAGAAGAAGAAGAAAGTTGAGAGACTCGTGGAGTTGAGGAGCTCTAAACCATCATCAGCAAAAGATAAATCGACTCCAAAGAGGACGAACAAGGATAATTCGAGTCAATCAACCAAAGAAGAGGTTGACGTGCCAAAACCAAAATCCGAGTTGCTCCTAAAATTGAACTACGACAACGTTTTGCACGCATGGTACGATAAGGAATCGCCGTTCTCCGATGAGATGCCGGGATCGGAGGCTGCCGGAAATGATGTCCAAGTATGTTTTTTTCCCCTTAAAATGCCATGAGATATTGAATCTTGAATTCTGTTATTTTAGTTAGAAGTACTAGTACTAGATATGTAAGCTACAATCGTACTATTGGACCATGGGACGTGCATCTCACGCTTTTTCTTTCTTTCTTTCTTACCTTTTTTTTTAATAAGAAAATCTTTTCTGTTTTTTAAACGCGTTTTATTTGACTCTTTTTCCTTTGTTAATTTTCAAGTTGGGCTGTTGTTTTCCAGCTACTAAGTGGGACCCTTGTGACACTCTAATTATTTAGTACTATTTCTTTCAAGTAGGTGACGAATTTGGTTTGTTTTATCGAATGTCTTCTACTTACATGTTTTTTTTTTAATCTTCTTTAAAATTATGATTTTAAAATGTAAATAATGGTTTAATATTGGATGCAGGCTAGATTGGCACAAATAGACTTATTCTCAGAGAATGGAGGCATGAGAGAGGCCGGTGTGTTACGTTACAAAGAAAAACGACGTACACGTGTGTTCATTAAAAAGAATTTCACCAAGTTAGAAAGTCAACACTGATCGATCATAATGAAGGTACCATTATTATAAAATAATTTATCTATAGACCTGAATAGTATACAAATATTACACTGTCAATGTTACTTGTTGAGTTGTTGTGATGGGTTACTTGCTTTATTTTTTTTAATATTGTGCTTATTTTTAACAGTTATCTATACTGATCTTTGGTGATACTTATTTTTTATTTATAAAAAACTCTAAATCTCTAAATAGTTGTTGATTTTTTTTGTCTGTGTTTTGACCACTATAATTTAAAAATGATAAAGTTAAACTCTTACCTCAATCATTGGGTAGCACAATTAAAATGAGATTGTGGGGATCTATAAATCATATAAAGGCCTTTAAAACTTTTCTGCCTGTGAATGATTGTTTTAACTTTTTCTGAATTCACTTTTTGTTTTGTGTTCTTTTTCTTCTTTTTTTAAAAAATAGAACTAAATTTCAATTAACTCTATCGAAGTTTAGAAAATTCTGAAAGAAAAAAAGGTCAATTTTATATTTAGGAATTCGTTAGAAATTTCTTCTTAATCCTCATTCATTGGCCATATGTCGTTAAATAAACCAGTTTATGCAGGGGAACGAAAATGTTTTCTTTTATTATTACGCATAGATCCACTTAAGTAACAACTCTATAAGTATTGAGGCCCAGTTGTACTTATACAAGCTTATTTCAATTCATCCAATGAAGTTCTTCAAAATCTTTATATTTCTTTATACACCCCTAAGTTTTCTTTTTTCTGTTTGAAACCTCGAATATTTATATTTATTTATTTAATTATTTTTGCAGGGTAGATTTGTGAAAAGCCCTTCACCAAAGACTGAGCTAGGATAACCAAGAACAAGCTTTTTTTGAATGATTTTTCCAGCGTTCTTAGGTTTTTTTCCCTTTTCTTTTTTGGGTATTTGCAGTTTTTCCCCCTCCAATTTCAGGTTTTTTCTTTTAAAGTTTTTGCAAAGTTACATTTAGAACAAAGTACCAAGGAAGATAGACTAGTTAAGACAAGCATCATGAAGCAGAATAGTTGAACTTTCTTTTCCTGTTATTTTTATTTTATTTTTCTTCTCCAATTACATTTGCACCAAGCTGAATAGTTTCAGACAGAAAGACCATTCGACGAACAATAATATGTTGAACTACTTCAATAAGTCTACTAGTGAGATATTTTACTACTTTCAATAAGTCTACTAAGCGTTGTCACGTGACACCATTTCGTCAAGAAATTTTACTAAATACTTATATATAATTAAAATGCAGAACCTAATAAACGTATAATTTGATTGAATTGACTCTGCTTGACATAATCATCTAGGTAGCTCGTTGTCTAGAATTAGTCATGGGTTCGAAGTGTTGTAGCTGCTTTTTTTGTTTTAATTTTTTTTATAAATGATGTAAAAATAAGATACTTGTCCAGCTGGGTTTGAACCATTGATCTGCAAGTGTTAATCAAAGATCTAAACCAACGAATCATGAACCAAACACATTTGCTGAAGCTACAATAAATTATATAAAAACTTCTGAGTTCTGAAGGATGTTGCTGCTTCCATATGTTGTTCCGCTAATTTTTTTTTTCCTTTCATTTTCTTCTTGAAGATCGATGATACCGATTAAGAACATTCGAAAAGAAAGTACATTTAGTATATTTTTAGTGCGGCTATTTTGAATACATTTCTAACAATAAAAATTTATCAAGAAAATTTGCATGTTAATTACGAGTTTTTGATTGATTGTTTGGTACCTTTATAGAAAAGAAAGCACATTTAGTATATTTCTAGTGAGGCTATTTTGAATACATTTCTAACAAAAATTTATCAAGAAGAGTTGTAATATAATTGAGTCGTGATTTATTAATATGATTCGAGTTATGTTTTTCAATATTATGTTGTAGAGATTTGTTGTGTTTTATTATTATGATTCGAGTTATATTTTTATATATCATATTATATTCATGTTATAAAATTGTGACACCGTTTACAAAAAATCTTGCATGTCACACGCTTGTATACAAACGATCTAATTGTGCTCTCAGCTTTTAAATTCCTTGCAATTTATTTTCATCGTCAATCAAACCTGCTGATAAAGTGAAGTCGACAAATTCTCTTCTAATTCGACTAAGTTTTAAATTAGTTACAATTCACTTCCCCCC